AAAGAAAGAAAGAAAGAAAGAAAGAAAGAAAGAAAGAAAGAAAGAAAGAAAGAAAGAAAGAAAGAAAGAAAGAAAGAAAGAAAGAAAGAAAGCCTATCCAGGATGAACTGTAACCTTGAATTGCATGGTGAAATGCCTTAGGCCACTTAAATGTGTTTATTACACCAAACTGAATTTCAGACTAGGTGACTGGAAAAGAGAGTAGAAGGAAACCCAGACTGGATCAACAGGTTTCTCCAGCTTACACCAATGGTCTCTAGGGAGATTCTTCCACTCCTTGAGGACGAAAATGTATCTTCATGCTATGAATAGGTTTTATTGAGTACTGAAAAGTACTCAAGGAGGGAAAGGTGGATAAGATTCTTGACATCAGGAAGCTGATGAAATGTCTATTGGGGAAAATTTTGGGGAAATATTTGTACATAGTTAATTATAAAATTATTTATAAAATAATGTTAGTGAGAAGGTACTGTTGCTGTGGGAACCAGTAACAGAGGGCTTACCCAAGTCTGGAAGGGAGACTTTATTATTCTTTTGTGTGTTGTGTATGTGAACCTGTAATGTTAAGTATTGATCATTGTCACACACACATCCCTGGGGAGGGAGGTTTTAAGGTTATGGGGCTATGTATACTGAGACTCAGGGTGTAAGAGTAAACTTATTGGCAAGAAGAGGTCTGAAGAAGTGTTTCTGGCAAAAGAAGGCTAAATGGAGTGAGGCATTTCCTGAGGCTCAAGCAGGAAAGGGGGATGATCCAGCAGAACCAGTTATAGCTTTGTTGAAGCTATAGAAATATTGCTCCTCCTGTTCTTACTAAGTAGAATCCTAAGTGGGTAAGCTATCTTGGAAACACTAACCTTGCTTCCGCTTAAGATATAGAAGTATTCCCACTTAAACACATTTAAGGCTTTCTCTCTCCTCCTCTACCATCCATTGCTCTGCATGAAGATGATCATTCCCTGCCATGTCTTCTCACAAGATTTTCAAGTGACTCCTAGTCAAGAAATTAAAACAGAATAGTCTCATTCCCTAGTGAATTTGTATGAAAACTGGAAATAAAATCAGATACAATTCCAAGAGAAGACATTAGAGAAGAAAAGCTGGATCATTAGGGAATCTCACATAAACACACATATTAATGCTGAATCAAGGTCACTAAGCATCTTGCCACAGCATGCTGAAAACACTGCTACTATTAGGGCACTTTATTAAAAAATCATTTTTCTCTTTATATGCTTCTGCACTACTAGGTTTGCTCAGTAATATATACATGAGACCTTTGAAAAATATAAACAAACATGCTAATTCATTAGCAAAGAACGGAGTATTTAATACCTAGCATCCAAATACACCTGGCACACAGCTACATTTTATAAATTGTGAATTCAAGAAACACATGTACTTTGCAGCTGTAAAGACAGATGGGGGTAATGTCCCCAAGCTGGAGACCAATGTTTCCTTCTTTTGCATAGGTCTGTCGCCCCCTAAAGACCCTTCAGATAGGTGCGCTCAGCCCAGGGATTGGTAGCGGAACCTCGAGGAGGCGGAACTGTCGACTGGTAGTTGAGATACTGGGGACTATCGCAAACGAGGCACCGCCAGCCCGGAAGGAGCTGAAGCGAGTTGGGGCCGCGGCAGCCATCGTGCTTTACGGTTCGGTGTCGGAGGGTGGAGGGCCGACCCCAAGCAAGGAATTGCGTTCTCTCCAGTCCCAGGTGAGTGGTGGCCGCCCTTCCAGGACAGCCGGCGAGCGGCACTGTGGGCCTGTGGGAAGGCTTACTTTCTGAACCGGAGCCCTCCGTGTCCCTGCTGGTGGACGGACGGAGAAGGGGTTCCAGTTTTCCGCCCTGGAAGCAGGCGGCGCGAGGGAGGACAGGTTCCTTTGCTGTTTTGCTGGAGCCCGCTCAGATGACCCACGGGGCATGACACCACTGCTGTCCAGTGGTGGGTTATGCCCGGAAAAAAACAGCATGACTCGAAACTTCAGGGGTGCCCTTCTTCACCTCGATTTTTTCAGCCAGTAAGGTGAAGGCTGTGGGGATCATTGACAACACTAGAGGTGGTGACGCGGTATGTTGTTTTCAGTTCTCCCAAATAATGTGGGGCACACTGAGCTCCCTAAATGGTAGTTAATTTAACTTCTTGCCAATGCCCAAGTTTCGGTTGAGTGGGAACAATATATACTTCTGGGGGAGGGGGGGAATGTAGTGATCTACAATTTGTTTAAAGATTTTTCCCACTAGGAAATTAGTTTTAATAACAACTAAAACGCTGATATTTTTGAACCCCAAAACAAAACTCTCCAGGAATTTAAGGTACTTGGTGTGGGCAAAATGAGGAGAAGAAATTCTTTTAGCTTGAAAGGTAAACCCAAAAATTACTGACATTCTCATATAAAGTTCTGTATTACTACTTCTCTTACAAGGATGTTCTGTGATCAATTAAAATATCACTTAGAGTAAGTCACGATGAAGCAAATAAGGAAAGGAACCTTCTTTCACTATGTATAAGGGAGGAAGGGAGCTAGTTGTGCATGCTGTGGTCCACTAAGAAAGGTAGTGTAACATCTCTGTTTTACAGATGAGGAAAGAAGGAAGATTTACAACTTGTCAGTATTAGTGTTGCCTATAGATCAAAACAAGGTGACTATCTAGTATTGCTTTGGTGGGTTTGCATTCCGCAACAAAATATTTTGAACTTGGCATTTTTTGAGTTTGCAGGAAAAGGAAGGTTTTGGCTTCATTGTAGGAATGTCAGAGAAGTATTGTCAGTAATTATGTCAGTTAGCAGTTTAAATAAAGTACATTTTAACCTTCCTTTGCCTCGACCTCCAAGCAAGAACTGAAACAAAAGATTAGATTATCAGAAATGAGCATCACTGCCACATCATTTGAAGCTTACAAATCAAAATTCTACAGTAATGATTCATTTCTCCACCCTCTTCTTTAAGTACACCTGGCTTAAACGTTTATTTTTCAGCAAGACATTACTAAGCAAATATTTTTGAAATCAGGTTGGAAAGTTTCTTTTCCTTCTATCTAGCTTTTAGAACGATTTCTAAAGTATTTTAAGGATTGAAATTGTCGTTGCTTGCTTGTTTTGATTCTTGTTTTTTCACTTCACTACTCAGATTCACACTTTTATTTTGTCATGTAGAGTATTTGCTCCTTTTAAAAAATTCTGTTTATATTGGTCACAGATTTAACCTTCTGTCAATGGAGTGTCACTTTTCCCTAAAGGAAATTTGAGTATGTATTTTTTGTTGATTACATGAACCAAAAGGTCTGTTCCATTGCTATGAATTAAGTCCCAAAATGTTTTCTATGTGTATTACTGTTTTAAAACTTGAAAGCTAAAGAAAGAAAATTTAATATTTATTAAGATAGTATTTAGAATATTTATTTAGGGAAGAATATTTATAAAGCATTTAATGTCAATCCTTAGGAATGCACAGGGTCTTGCCAAAATTCTACAAAACATGGCTAGTAGTGTTTTGGCCTTCTTTATATTTCTAGTACTAATTGAGTTTGAAACAGAGGCATGTGTAATTCTTAAGTCAGCTTACAGATAATTTACCTGACCTTATGGTGTTTTGTGCAAGATTTCGTCTTAAGCCTGAGAAAATTGGGTAAAAATTTATAACTGATCTCTTCTGATGAAATTTTTTTACCTGGAGTTGAAGGATACTATTCTTGTGCCTTTTCTGGTAATAGTCAGTGATGGTTTAACATTTAAAGTAATAGCAGAATATCATTACAAATTTATTTCATGTAAAAGATGTTAATGTTGCATTAATTTAACATTGGTATTTAAAGTTCTTGGATTTTAGTGTAGTCTGAGCTAATACCCCTTTATATTGTTAGTATTCTAAGTTTTCATGTACATTACCATATTTAATCAGTCTCTGAAGTCTCATTTTCATTACATATAGGAGGAAACTGTGCTCAAAAAGATTGGCTTTCCTAGGATGAAACAACTGTATTTCAAAAATGCATACTAAACTTAGTTTTTTATAAAATTCTAAGTTTGGGTACTCTATGTATATAGCCACAGATCTAACATGCTTTGCTTCCCAAAATTATTAATGTACTGATTCTATAATCCTACAGTGATGTCAGATTGGCCTTTTTAGAATATTATAGCTTTTATTTTCTCCCAGCACTACTCTGGAGTATTTATTTATTTTTTAAATTCTCTCCCTGTCCTCGGTACTTATAGCTTGTCATCTTACGTGTATTTTTTTTAGAAGTTCATAACTTAATAGTTTATGTAAATTTAAAAAAATTTAATAGCTAAACAGCTAAATATAGTATTTATACTTATAAAGTGTATTAGTTTTTTTAGTATATTCACAATGTTGCACTACCATCAGCACTACTATCAAATTACAGTACATTTCATTATGCATAAAAGAAATCTGGTACTCATTAGCAGTCATTCCTCACTTTCTTTTATCCCAGTCTCACAACCACTAATCTACTTATTCTAAGGATTTGCCTTTCTGGACATTTCATGTAAATGGAATCATCCATATAAATTAAATAGGACAAGGCTTTAAGAAGTTATTTGTAACCTGAGAGGTTCTGTTCCATTACATCCTTTGCACTGATTTTCACGTTACTTGAGTAGATCACTTCTAATCTGCATTGGGACTTTTCCTGTTTGGTGTTCATGCAATAAATAAATCTGCTGACGTGTATATGTTTCCTTGTTCTTGACCTTTGCTCTTCATAAGTCTTAGTAGTGTGTTCATGGTGTTGTGTAACCTGTTCTCAGAACTCAGGTATCTGTAGCTAAATAACTTATTTTTAGTTGGGGATCTGTGTTTCTACTTTAAAATGACTAGTCACTTGCAGCCTGTTTTAAGGTTCTTAGAAACTGACTTTACTGATCTATTAAGTATCTCCTTATCTTCTAAAACAGAAACTGTTCTTCCCCCTTCCTTCACATACTGTGTAATTAGATTATTTTTCAGGGCACAAACTTTACAATAATAAACTGGGACTGTCTTTTTCCTTGCTGCATTCTGCCCTCTGTCAACCCTCATAGTTCTCATCTGCGACAGTCACCTTCAGCTAAGACTTTGTAACTTGATTCAGTCTCCTATAGCCATACCTTCTATTCTTCTAAGTGATTCCACTGCCCGTCAGTGTGAACTGTATATACCCTATAGGCTTCACTTTTCTTTCATCTCCAGTTCCCTTCTGTTCTCCATGTCATAGTCAGGCCTTGAAACTTGCCACCACCTGATTATCATTTTTTGGATTCTATTTATTTGGAGGGGGGGGAGAGGGGGAGGGCTGTTTATTTTTTCCTCTCTTGAATTCTTGAACTTGTGTTCTCCACTTTGCTGGCATAATTCCTGACTCATCTTTTACCTCTCTTGTGCTTTTACTACATTTATACCAGCTTTTCTACTTAACACTTTCCCGTTATCCCAGTTCTATGAGATACCTGCCTTTGACTCTTCCCCCTCCCCTACTTATTTTCACACTTTTATCCTCTCAACTTTACCCGATCAGAGTACTTCAGTACTCTCAAGTTCCTATTACCCTTATAATTTTTCAGATCCTGTTCTGGACTTCATCTCCATTCACTCCCATTCTCTAATGCTGAGCACATTGCTGGGGAGAGGGAGAGGTTAGAGATCCGTAGATTGGTACTGCTGTGAATCTTTTCAACCCCAAATATTTTATTTTAGCAAATTTTTAAAAAGATTGATTTATTTATGCATTCAAGAGCTGGGGTGTAGGTCAGAGGTACAGAGGGGCAAGAGGATTCACCAGAGAAAGAGTGGGGAGCAGAACAGGCTGACTGACAGAAATACACTGCTGAGGGGAGCAGCAGGCATAACAGGAGGTCTGCTGTACATGCAGGTCATCTCCCTGAATGGGCATCGAATTTGTGCAGCAGTGGGTGAAGATAGCTTCATAGAGCTGAGACTTAACCCCTTGCACCACAAGGGAGGCTCACTTTTAGCAGTTTTTTTTCTGCACACACCCATTTTCACTTTTGGTGTCAAACTGCTGCTACTTCCTGAACCTCGTTCTAATTTCAGAAGAAAGAGGTGTACTCTCAGCTCAGACACTAGAGTCTTTGCCCCTTTTAGTTAATTCCTTCTTTATTCTCTCATCTTTAACCTTTCCCTTTCTACTGATTCCTTTCTTTCAGCTTAATATATTCAAGTCTTGCCTTTACTTAAGAAAACCTTACTTCCCTCATTCCTTTTTAAACCTTTTGAAGAGTAATCGCTCCTGTCTCCTTTCACCTTTCCCCTATTAATCACCAATCCTATTCACTCTAATAGCAACCAAGTACTACATACTTCCATTGTGCATTTTAACAGAGTTTTTTTTTTTTTTTTTTTTTTTAAGGCACCTGCAACTTGTTTCAGGCCACAGAGCTAATGACTCCTGGAGATAGGCTTTAGGATGTGCTTTAGAAACTGGTCATAGGCTGTCCTGTATTATTCTACACCATAGACTGGAAATGTTCTCAATAGTTGACTCCTTGTCACCAAAGCCAGCTGTGACATCTTTGTAGCTGTATTTGATCTGGCTAATTTCTTTCCAGTTTTGCCACAGTCACTTCAAGTTCTACCCTTTTGGGGTTTCATTGGTTCTTCCACCTGTAGCTGTTCCTTAAGTCTATCTCATTAAGTCTAACTCATTTCTTCTACAGTATTTGACAGATGTTTGTGGCAGGACTTCAGGCA